GGTTTCGCATGCTTGAACTAATCATACAACCCCACGAACCTGTGTAAATTCTAATAAAAGTCGCTTATTTGACCTCGATAAAATGCGTAGATCTGATGGAAGGCGCACAATCAGAGTTGGTGTAACACATGACAACTGATCGTAAACAAAGTGTAGCATTGTGTTGCCAATCAAAAAGGAATCACAGATGCAGCTTAATCGCCATGATTGTCTTCTGTATGTGGCATAGTACTGAAACTATTTATGCACCCTATCACTTGATCCTGTAACAGTGCATACTTGACTCAGGCACCTCACCTCAGTTTTTGATTCCACGCACACGTTTCTTTGACAAGCATGGGTCAGCCTGTGCAAATCAATTTAATCATTGTTTTGACTCTAAAATACCTACCCTAAATACAATGCTATGTATTTTAAATGTGTAATGGTTGAAAATCTATGTTCAAATTACTGAGAGCATAAAAGCTTGCATCATAATTTCATGGTGGCCGTGTTTCATGGCTGTGTTTATTTAGTGTAGTACAGTGAAAATTAGTTGCATCTGAGCCCTTAGGAACCTGATTGAAAAATATCAACACAATCGCAATCATGTTGATACAACTATAATGAGTAATTTGATTGGACAGTGCATTGAGGAAAATATCTCTAGTATTGCCAGAGAGGGCGCACTTAAATATACATTTCTATACTTTTCATTATTGTATATAATTTGCGAAGGTGTAGTGGTGAGGCAATGACCCTATAATTTAACCAAGATGATTTATATAGGGTTACTTTTTTTGGTAAAATTTACAAAAAAGGTACCAATGATGCAAAACTGCTTGTTTGTTTTTTTAATTTGAGGAGTTAAAATGGCAGTTTGTTGAAACAGTGTTCAGAAACAATGAAAATCATCATGGATAATATTTACTTTGTTACTTCAGAGTAACTAGAGTAATAGTAATTGTAATAACCTAAGCAATTAACCTTCAGAGATCGTGAGATTTGGCACTGCGCTTAAGACATACTGTAGAATACTTTATTTTCGCTTGGAATTTATTTTTGCTATTTTCGCTGAAGGGATGATTCCATGAAAATAAAATCCAGCGAATATACTTTTTTTCTTATATTTCACATTAAACTCATC